CAGCTTTATTGTTTAAAAGTGTATCATGCCATGACTTCACTGTAAATATTGTCAGTGTTAAGTGTGAAGTAAAACAGAACATCACAGAGGTGTTTTACAGCCTTACACTATAGCTTAGAAACCTATCTCCTTTACATAGGTAAGTAGTCCACTATTTCTGTTTCAAAATGTAAGAGATATACGTTACTGATTTTTCAATTCACTGACTTTGCTTATTACCACTCTCTAAATGTTTAACTTTACATATATTTCTTTTTTTATATATATATTTGTATATTTATATAAATAGTAATGCTAGGTAAGAAGATAAATGGAAGAGTCCTTTCTGCTCATGTGCCTCACTGTAATGATGCTCTCCTGAAGCATTATGTCAGCTCTACTATGACAAACAAGGCAAAAAATAATACTTTAGAATAACATGGATTGAGCTAAAATGAGGATGAACAGCTGCCACTAGATGGCAAGACAGGCTCACAGTAATTTAGAGGGCTGGGTTTGGTCTGTTTGGGGTGGTTTTTTCCCCTTTATATAAGAGGAATATGTAACATTTGTATTTCAAACATGGTGTCGACACTTCTTTCCCATGACATTCCAAGTTTATCTGATGATTTTAAATTGGTGAATGAGGCAAACCGCTTGAAAATCCCTTTAGAAAACACAGGCACCATGGAAATAATGTTTACTGGGTAAACTCAACTAAACAAATTTTAACAGATTTGCTGAAAAATTAGTGAGTTTAAAGGAAAAAGTATGTGAAAAGGTATAGACAGTGGTAAACTTAACTTTCAACAAAATTACCAAACTAAACAAGTGAACTGTCGATCTATAAAACAACCTGCTTCCCCCTACAGTCTTTAAGGTCCCTTCCAAGCTTAAAATGCTACTCTATTTTAAAGTTAGCATTTAGGTGTGCTAAAACTGGAAAATGAACTAAAAGGCAAATAAAATCCTGAGAAATCAATACTTTCCATTCTTTTTAAAAATTCAAAATATTTCAGTGAAAGCATGCCCTGAAACTTCTCTCTGGCCTCTGTTTATTTCCTTACTAACACCAATATTGCCCACAAAGATCAAATAAATAATTATTTATTTTATTTATACTATAACTGTATATACTGTAACTGTATATATATCTCAATATATACAATTATATATGTAGTTATATTCTGAAAAAAATCCAAATGTAACTTTTCTCAAGTGTTTTAGCCGACTTTGAAATATCAATGAAGGGATGGATGGAAACAGGTCAGGATCTGAAGAGCAGCAGTTTGCACCTGCAGGACCGGATGTGAAAGTATGAGAGTCTTTGAACTCTATGACCAAATCCTCTCTGACCACAGGTGAAAGATTTTAACTCACTGCAAATGAGTTTTTAGAGCCTCGTGTAAAGCTCTGGCTGGCGACAATTTATGCATCTACTAACACCCAGATCCAAAGGTAATTATTTATTACAATTTTATTCAGTTTTTCAGTTGCCCCATGTCAGGATCAGGCTACAAAGAGAGGAACACAGACCAGGTCATGTTGATCTCTGTGGCTGGACATAAGAAGAAACTTACAAATGACACAGACTAAAAAATGTCTAAAAAATGACACAGAAAATTTCCCAAATGACTTTATTTTACTAACAGAGTAGCAAAGTGCCTTCCTCTTACCTGAGCTCCATAGACAGGAATTGGTCTAAGGGAAAACTGTTAAAATGATTTCCAGACTCAGACCAGAGTTAGATGAGCATTTCATAAACACATAATATCATCTTAAACTTATGCAGTCTAATATAGTTTTACGATTTACATTGCCCAAGTAACTGTTTGGGCTCTCCTATTTGGAGTTTCAGAGTGCTGTACAGCAGAACTAATGACTTCACTGCTCCTGTAGTCCCATACACTCAAGTTTTGCTGCTACTGAACCAAGAGCAGTCTCAGTTATTGTATCATACCTGTTTATTTCCAGAGTCTCACTACTGTACAGACTAAAGGAAGATGAGGGCAAAAAATACATACCTGTGACATTAAAGTACCTACACAGGAGAAGGAAACTGAGGCACATCCTACCTCCACATAAACCTGTTTTCTTGACTTCTCAAATTTCACCGATATTGTAAATTATTCTTTTTTTTTCTTTTTTTTTTTTTTTTTTTAACTAAAAAAGCCTTTAACTTCTTTCAACTAAAGAAGTCATTTAGTTGAAAACAGCAGTACTCAATTCCACCACCTTCCCTTCACTGTATCATTGTTTCGGACTGTCAGCATTGTAGTGGCCATCATCCATCACCTGAACTGAAGTATAAAAGTACAGGTACACACAGACACAAGAAAAATTCAGCTGATTGCTTCAGAAACTCCACCTCTTTGGACCAGGCAAGAAATGCCAGAGGCTGCTAATTAACTTCCGTGCTAGTGGTCTAAATATGCAAGAAAACCTTGCTTTACAAAGAGCAGAGTTTAACCACACACTGTCTGAGAAACCATAATTCTCCCTTATTTAGCTACCTCCCTCTGCTACACTAACATACTACGTTATTTTATAAAATTAAAATATCTTTATTTTCTAAATAAAAATATTCATTGTATTTAAAAAAAACCCAAAGTTCTCAGAAACGTTAATGGTCAGCAGAGCCAGCCATAAGGGAGCCCCAGTAATGATCCTTTGTTTGCAGCACAGTCCCCATCTGGACTTCCCCTGACCTGTCTGATAAGAATCCACTGCAGCAGCATTGACTTCCAGTTTGGTTACATCACTATGAGTGGTTTATGACCACTTGAAACACAGTTTCAGTGCAAAACCAGGAGAAAAGAAATTACTCTAAATCATCTGAGCTCTCCAAGCAGAGCTGGGCAGCAATGGCTGTTGACAGCTTCAGCTTAGGCCAATCCAAACAACTCATGAAAGCAACAAAAGGCATCCTTATCATTCCAGGATGACCTTCTAGATAAATTTTAGGTTAAAAGAAGTTGAAGTGCTGCAATGTTTTTGTAGTGCAAAGTCTCAGAGAACTAAATATAGACATAAGCACCACTCTCTGCTCTCCCCGTAATCTTCCCTCTCCTGAAGAACAAAATTGTTTGCTTTCATCATCCAAGAGGGAGCTGCAGGTCTGAACTGTAAACTTGGTGAAAGAGGACTGGAGTTTGTCAGTACTCAGATCAAGGCAGATGAAGATGTTTTCTATGGTTTGGTTCATCTCAGGACCAGATGGGACAAAAGAAATGGCAGGAGAGAACAGAAAAATGCACTGCCTAATTAAAGGTGTACAAGGAAAACAGTACCTACGAAGGAAGTAGGAAGTTTTCGTCATGAGTTTCCTTGCCTAGCTTGTGATTTCATCTGTGTTTCGGGGCAGCAGATGATGTTCCCCAATTTTCAGGTTTCACAGGCAGAGCTGTGTCTGCCAATACATTTTCTTGTCAGATAAATTGACCTTGGTGAGACTCAGCTCCCACTGAGGGTTTCGCAATCTGGTATTAAACTGCTGCCTGACAACACTCACTCCAACACCACCACACCTTGTCAGGGGCTGTCTGCACTCATCAGCTTTACACACACCTTACAGTTTCCAGCACACTGGGATGTAAATGACTGGATTTTGGTTCAGCTCCCAATTCTTTGGTGGGATTACTCCCAACCATATCAATGCACCCACTATCAAACCTGCACTTGGATTTACATATTCTTAAGAAGATGACTGCAGCAAAAATTAATAATATTTTCAAAAAAAAAAAAAAAAGTTAATTTTCAATCCCAGGCCTTGCAAAAAGAGCAGGCCGTTGTTGTGGCTTCAAGTAAGACTCAAGCCAGATACTGGCAGACAAGGAAATTTTACCCACACTTAACTATCTGTCATCTTGTCTTTCTGACATCTTTAAAAGATCTAGAGTGGCTGGAAGTCTTTTCACGCTTCTAAAAACAAAACTCCCACATCCTCCTTCTGTAAAACCTTTAAAATAGTTACTCTCTCCTCTGCACTTCACATACTTGTCCTATTGGTGCCCCTTCCCCCACTTAATTGTCATCCCAGACAATAACAGAAAAAAAGTTAATTCCTTTGACATCACAACTGGAGTGGGTGACTGAAGTAAAAAAAAGAAAGAAAAAAAGTGAAGTATTGATACACTCTAAAAAGTAAGATAAAACTGTGTGTAAAAAAATATACCTAACCAGCTGTTGAAAGCAGGAAAAGCAGAAATAAATTAATCACTTCTGCCAACTCCTGAGGATTTTGTGACTGGCAGCAGTAAGATATTTTCCACTTCACTTGCATGTATCTTCTCATTCACGTATCAAAAATCATGCCTGAGTTTGCCAATGTGGAGAAAACCAAGGGAGTTTTGGTGAAGAGAAGACACAACCTTACCCCAGGAGAAGCCCAGACTCAGATTACAAGTATCAGGTTGACCCTGCATTAAAAGATGCCATTTTTTCCATCATAATATTCTGCACTGTCAGTGCTCAAAATCCTCACTACGTGTTTAGTTTCACTGATGACAAAACATAATAGAAGCAACGCATGCTATAAATCCTGGACTTGTCTTTTTGGGCACTGGGGTTGGCATCTTCAATGTGCAAGGAGATGCCCAGTGGGATACTATTAATTGCCCAGGCTTAATTCCCACTGAGGCCTGAAGACCTCAGAGATCTGGCCTGTGGCTTAGCACAGAGCTGAACACAACCAACAACATTCTCACTTTAAAATTTCCATGTAATGTCATGTAGATTATCATAAGAAATTGTTTTAATATTATACTCACTCAAGCATTTTCAATCTCTACTAATAAAATGGCACCGTTTCTTGTTCTTGAGAGGAGTTGTGCTGTACTATTTCAAAAACTACAGTCAGGTCCCTTCCTTTTCACCTATTCACTCTTGTTTAAAATAAACTCAAATATTGCACCATATAGTGAGACATAGTTTAGGAAAGAACCTTTTCTACAGACTTGCAAACAGTATTACAGAGGATTTTCTATCCTGAAATGCCTGTAATCATAATTTTTTCTGAATACCTGAAAAAACCCCGGTGGTACAGGACCTACTGGCATGCCATCTCCTGGGGGAATGTTTCCTAGCACTGGACTGGGAGCTGCTGCAGCACTCTGAAAAGAACAAAGGGAAAATAAACCTTTGTCATTGCATTGGTAGGCATCAAACCCCCGCCACAAAAAAACCCCAAAACCTGACCAAAGTGCAGAAAGTAATTCTCTGGATATGTCATTTCGTCATTGTTTCATCTGAAGCTGAATTAAAATTGTTTAGTTTTCGCCTATACAAGTATCATGATTTGTAAAAATAACAAATGAGGGGAAGGATGCCAGAGGCTGCATGCATCCATTAGATAGATTGACCAAATTTTTTTGAAATACTGTATCTGAGTGTGTCTACATACACAACCGTGAGTGCAACTTGCACACTTTTTCTCATATTACGTGTATAAACAGCCTCACACATGCACAAGGATATACATACAGCATAAACTAAGTAATTTATGTATTTTATCAGTGATTTCCAAGCACTCTAAAGATAATTTCATTGGACTGTAACACTTCCTCAAAACAACAAGCTCCAAAACAGGATTCTGTAACAAACAGCACAAGAAGGGATGCTCATGATTCTGCTGGTAATGCCCATGGATTTTACCAACCCTGAAAATAAACACCATGACAAATTAGAAGAATTTGGGTTATGTTTTTGGAAGGGAAAAGAAAAAAAGGATTTCTAAGGAGTGAATCAGAGGATGAAATTAGTTACCTTTGCAAATCCTTCAGCTGGAATAAGCGAGTAAAGAATATTGCTCCTGGCAATTTACAAAGCAGGAGATTGTCACACAAAAAGCAAAGCCAAACTGCTTCTGTTGTCATGTGTTGGAACCTCAATTACTTTTAATTTCTAGCAGTCTTCCTTCCTGCAATGTGTTTTTGTAGGGCATGAGGCTGAATTACCTACAAAGGCTTGAAAATCTCCTGTGAAAGTACTCCAGCCCACAAAATGCACCCTGAGCCACTGGCAGGTTACTAATACCCTGCCAATACCTGCCCTGCAGAACACACATAGCTGATGCTTATTAAATTATCACCCCACTTATTGTGTGCTTACACTTGATGTCCAAAAGATGCCAATATGGAAATCCAGGTGTATGGCACACTCCCTAGGAAAATAAGGAATAGTGCTGGAAAGATCTGAAAACTAGCACAAAGGAGGGCTGACCTTTTGAAACCAAGCGAAAAGGAAATATTCCGTTAATTATCACAGACTTATTTCTTTTTTAATGGTTTCAACTGTGGTTTAGAGTCAAAGTTATGAGTAACTAGCAGCAGCATATTTAGCATCCAAGCTGACTGGATTCCATTCCAAGTTGTTTGGAAAAGTCTAGAAATATCACTTAAATGTAAAACCTGCAGAAAGTGCTGGCTTTCAATATGAGTGCAAGGCTTTGATTCATTAAAAAGCCTGTAATAAAGGGTATTACTTATGCATGGATCAGTGTTAAAACACTGTATAATTGCAATTGACAAGAGAAAGCCAGCTAGGTGAATTTGGTATAGCAAGTAACTTGCAATCATAATACACTCCTTATGAGAGAGACCACCACAAACCAAACAGACTGCGGAGCTGTGGCAAATAAATGTGGTTCCTAGAGGCACGGCCATTCATGTCCAATAATTGCTTTCAGATTATCTCATTTCCAAAGGAAAACAGAATAGAAAGTTTTTAGGGTTGGTTTGTTGGGGTTTTTTTTAAGCAAAATATGACCTGTTTAAGCCAAGCATCAGGCAACAATGTCCAATAAAACAGTGACAGGTATAGTTTGAGTGAAGTATGTTGCATGTGTTTTTGTATGTACAAGTCTTCTAGGTGAAGGATGACAGCAGTGGCATCACTGATGGAGAAAAATGTTAACAGCCTGCACATTTTAAAATGTCCAGCAGAGCCTGTGCTGCAGTCCCTGACCAGGAAGGAGTAGCCCATTAAAGGGCACTAATAAAGATGAGCCTTATTACAGCATCACATCACCCTGCACTGCAATTACTGATTGTCCCTGTGCTACCCAAGCTGAGCCTACCTCTGATGGTCTTGGAATGTGCACTGTGGAGCACAATGCATTGGAACAGAATCCAACAAATCACTGGACAAACATGCCCCAGCAGGTTGAGGTCTCTGTCAGAAGGGAACAACCTCTGGGCATGCAGAGCTCCCACAGGGATATAGGGACCTGCTCTTGATGAGTTCATGCTCTTCCCCACTTTGAAAACAACTTTAAAAAAGTAAAATGGCAAAATATACTCAGCACTTTAAAAAACAGAGAAAGAAATAACGATTATCCCAAAACAGGGGGTGAAAAGGATTACAGTTATAACTGTTAGCCATTAAATGCCCTAAGAGGGCCTTATAAGAAATATACCTAAAAATAACATTTTCATAATTGTCTCAATTGAGGTGGATTTTTCAAAATTTTAAATTTGGGTGTGTTTTTTTTCCTTTTTTTTGAATCTGCCATAGCACTGATCCCGGAGGAGCACAGCTCTTGACCCCTGGTGAATCCACAGGGATTCCCCGGGAGATACTGCATTGTGTTGGGTTTAATTATTTGTTTACCAGGTTATTTGAGACTCGATTACACCATCTAGTTCACAGACACTTGATCAAAAACATCTCTTCTCTGTATTTCTGTGTGGGAGGGAGGACAGGACAAGGCCATAACAGCAGGTCAGTTGTACTGACATTTCTGGTACTACTTAATAGTTGCTAGAATTCTGTAGTTGCAACAATTTTGCCACAGTCCAGTTTCCGGTGTTACAGAAACTTCCATTTTCCCCCTTCATTATGCAATGTACTGTGGGTTTTTTTCTGTTTCATGTTACCCTAGGATTTTCTTCCCTGACAGGCAATGAAGTCCCAAAATCAGAAATAAAGTATTTTCAGTATTTTAGGTACATTACACTTTCTCCCTTGTGCTAAATAATGAATCTTTTAAGAACTTATACCATTTAGATCAATAAACAAACCTGCAACTGTTGTATGGAAATATTCTTATTTATTCTATCCTGATGAATTATTCAGTTCCTTTTTCACAGTCCCACAGCAAACCATGGCTTTCGTTTGCATGCCTTACAAGTTGTTCATCATTTATAACTCCATTAGTCTGACATTTTAGATTTTTGCAATTTGTTTCCCTTCTTTCCATAAAATGATGAAATAGGAAAATTTAGATGATATAATCTTTTTGTACAGTATCTTATCTCCTTAAAAATGGAAAACTTTATTTGTTTTTGTAGCTAAAATACTGAATTTGTACAATTTACAATTATTAATTAAAATGGTGTGCTGAATGAAAGTTGTTGTGGTCACTTCTTGCTCTACCCAAGCTACTCTCCACAATGCTAAACTAGATGATTATATTAAAAAATAAAGCTAGATATGGTTTAGGATGGATTTTACAATATGGAAATTGCCGATAAATAAAAAATAGAATCATTTGGCTACTTCATTAGTACAGTATCTAAAGTATAAAAATCCAGAGAGAAGTCTGCAAGATATAGGTCATTTTTGAGGCCATCACAAGAAGTTCTTTATGATGAAAGCTCCCAGAAGAATTTGATTTGAAACCAAAGAATGCTACAAAAAATGTCTTGAACTTATAGAAATCCTTATCTGGCTCATTCTTTGATCAGGGCATTTAATTCCAGGTAGGGTGCCTACATTAAGATATCCTCCTTTTTATCCCCTGTTAGCAGTTTTTCACATGTTACTAAATTTGTCCAGTCAAGGGAGAGTTCTGTTTTTAAGAAGTCTGACTGAAGAAAAATGATGAAATCTACTTGATGATGGAGGAGTTGGACCCTACACGTAAAAATTATTATGGCCACTGTCGGTCACTCAATTCATCATCCAACCCTATACAAATCTCCTAAACCAGCCCTACATCCATATTTCTAACTTACTAGCTGTTATCCTAAAAAATAACTTCTAATTCATAGTATTTCATGCCCTCTCCACTTACTGCAAACAAACAGGAAACTAACTGACCAGACGCAGACATGATTAATTTAGTTTTATCACATTTTACTGAGTATTTTTGATCCAACTATGTTGTCTTCTTTAGGAGAGCACTTTAAAAACTGCAGATTCTCCTTTTTTTCCTAAGGACAAAGGGTAAATATTCAGTATTACGTTTTCAAGTTCATTAATTTAGGAAATGATGGGAATTAAGGGATTTAAATGTAGTTGTTGTTTCTTTTTTTTCCTCTGGAAAGATAAATGATGGATGATTACTAGTTCCAATCGTATTTACCACTTGCTTAATTTCTGATCATTGACAGCTTTGAAGTGCCAGACATACTGCAGCCAATATTGTAAAAAAAAAAAAAAAAAAAAAAAAAAAAAAAAAAAAAAAAAAAAAAAAAAAAAAAAAAAAAAAAAAAAAAAAAAAAAAAAAAAAAAAAAAAGGCAAATTTCCATTTGTAAACACTTCAACTTGTAACTTGTCAAGTGTTTCTAAGCCATCAGCCAGTTACTGTAATAGTCCTTCACTATTTTTACCTACCACAAGTTAGAGAAAGAAGTACCAAGAGGAACTTCACTGAATAACCACTAGAAACCTCATTTTCTTCAATATAGAACATAAAAGTACTCATCATTCTGTACAAAAAAATAAATTTAATTAAAAAAAAATTTAAACAAGCCTCCATTCCTTTTACAAAGCCTCTGAACACTCAGCTGTACACAAAAGAGCCATAAAATGAGTGGCCTTGGCTTACTCAAAATCGAATTGTAAGGTTGTGCCCAAAAAGGTGAATTCATCACATTGAAAGAAGTGAGTAATTACAAAGATCTTGATCACGAGACCTAATTAAACCTTGGCGCAGCTCCATTGCTATGTATTTGTCTAAACTGTGTAATTCTGTCGTGTAATAAGAAAGCATTCACGTGACAGCAGCAGCCTGAGAAGTGTAATTGTGGAAGGTCATTCCTTGCAAATTCTCTGTTCTCCTCAAACTGCAGCTTCTTATGGTTTGATGGGGACTCTGGCATTGTATTTCTGCCCATCCCATTTTACACATTATTATGAGTGATAAAGAATAATAATAATGCAATCAAT